GTTCTGAATTTGGTGAGATCGATGCTGCCTTCATCCCTTGACACTAAGGTCGCTGCGTCCAACGGGGTACTAGTCTGATTTTCGGCTAGCTTCAAGACAACGTCTTCTAACCTCTCCATACGCTTGTTGCTCGCTAGTTGAGATTCTAGGACCAGTCGGACCAGATCCGGCATAGATTTGTCGTCTGGTGTCGAAGAACCCGGATTACTCATCTCGAGAGGCGGTTCTTTCCGTCTAAAAGTTTGTAAGTACGGCAGTGGTGTTTTGAACGGCGCAAGAGTATCAGTTCGAGGTCTAGATGGTGTTATCGGGAGGTCTGGCGGTTGAGTTGGCGGAGGGTCTGTTACGAATGGCACTGTTGTATTGTCTGGGTCTGGCGTTGTCTGGATGTCTTGCTTTGCAATACGACTGGCTTTTCGAGCTGCACTGATGATCGATTCAGGGTCTGGCAAAGGTCCTGTTTGACCTGTCTGGCTTCTTGATTGTCTAGTATTCATGCAAAGAAAAAGGAAGAAAATTCAAACGACCGTAGGCCGGGGGTTCTCCAATTGGTGGAGAACCAAGAAGGTGTAGTTGAGTTGATTTGGATTGACTAAAATTGAACGCGAGGTGTACGGGGTAGTGTCATACAGCTGCGCCAGTGATCGTCGTCGGCGTTTTGGATGTTTCGCGTTTGAGAAAAAAAAACTGTAAGGTTTGGGATCTCAAACCTTCACTGAATTGCGACGGGACGCTGTCAAGGACAGCGGGACGGTTTCTAGAACCCAAGTGACTTTTATTATTTCAAATCAATAGGAAAACCAATAGAATCTGAAGTATTAATTATTAAATACTTTAGTATTTGTATGTATGTGTAATGACCATAGGTCTTACATGCACTTGCCGCCTTGTGCCTTTGATGCTGAAAGTTGCCATCGAGGCACACAATCATATCAGGCTCGCAAGCCTCGGTAGTGGACACAGGGGACCAAAACACCGCGGGCAGTTTTCCGCGAGCCGTTCTATTTCAGAAAGCTGAAGGATATCCAATTCTTTATATCGTACCATAGTGACAAGTGTTCAATAGGCGTCGTAAGCTGCACTGAAAGGAGCTCGCCAGTCGCGAGGCTTTGAGTGTTGGAGTCAGTGTTGTGTCATTAAATCTCATTTAAATGAGTGATAGGCCACATCTCACCTGTTGACTCTTGGCGGTTAGTATGAGAGGATTATGAGCATCAAGATACTTGTCCAAAGCACGAACAAAGGCCTGCGTACGGACTGCACTGTGTTTCCATATGCAATAGAATAGACGCAGCAAGCGTATTGAAAAAGCTGTTCTTGGATGAATTGGCGAGCCTCCGATGTATCCCATCTCAACCAATTGGACTGGATCAGAATTGCATTCACAAAATTCGATTTTTACCTTTTTGCGGGCTGGAGATAAGAGTGGACCTTGAATATTGATCAAAACAAGGTATAATATAATCAGAGACTTACTCAAGATGTCCACCAGGTCCACCCAAACATATCTCTTGCGACTTTGATAACATATACATTCTCCTTTATGGTTGGAGTCCCACTTCAAGATATCACCCCATTCTGAGGTTAGTTGACGACCACACAAGAAGAACGGTAGCATTTTTTCACATTGGTTAAGCCATTGTTTTTGCTTTTCTAAACGTTTTGCATCATATTGAGCCCTAGCAATGCGCTCCAGAAGTTCAACCTCGTCTTTGTCCATTGCGTTGAAATGAGGTTCTGGTGGATGATCATCAAATTCGTCTTCCTTGTCCATAGGAATATTGACCCATTCTGGTCGATATTAAACAGGTAGCCTTGGGTTGCCAGCGTTCCCTTGAAAAAAGGCTTGAGAGGCTTGGTCAGCTTGAGCTCGATTTTTGGCCTGCTGGGCAAGAAATGCTTCCTGCAGAGGGGTTGCTGGCTTGTGTTTCCGGCGAAGTCTGTTCAAACGGCGAGCATATGGGTTGGGAGCCATCTGAAACAAAAGAGAGTGTTACATATTAGCATAAGACATTGTATGTAGAGTACAAAGAAGGAAAACCACACATGTCACCCATGTGTGTCACATATAGGACCTACAATACCCTTTGGTATCTTGTGACATTTGCAATACAAGCTTTGTCCTATCAACTGGAATAAGGACGTTGGATACTTCACCACCTTCTGGATATGGTGTCGGTATAGGTTTGTTTTGCTCTTTGAGCAATTATAATCCAAATCTTAATTATAATATATTCGAGACAACTAACTGTTGATTAAAGGTTTGTTTTGATCAGCGCCATTGAGTAATGCAATGCAGTTTTCAAACTGGATTATATCTGATTTGAGAAAACTAACTGTTAAGTGATAGGACTGATTCTTAGGCATCCAGCTCAAGTCTAATGTTAGGCGTAAAGATTTGTTCAAATCTTTAGGTGAGGTGATTGTTTCGAAAAAACAGTTTATGATCAACCATCGGTCCTGTTGGCCAAAAATCTGAATAATCTTAAGTAATGAGTAACAGAAGTCAGACAAAATGTTTGGTTTGTTAATTTAACTGTGATTATGATTAAACCTATTGATGAACTAACGTACGCACATCCACAATTGAGCAAAAGCCTGGTGTAACATCTTTTGACTTATATCTAAACCAGGTAATTTATCTTGTAGAGTAACTATTAGAATGTAACATCTTCCAACTTATATCAAATTCGGGTAAATTATATTATAGAGTAACTATTAGAAAATGATGATATTGCATCAGTATCTTCCTTCATTTCAATCATTTGATGATTTTGATGTACATTTGAATAACATGAAGTTGGTAGAGAGTAACTGTTGCAGTTATGATGATGCTTTTGTGTCCTTGTAGTACGTATTTCTGTTGATAATTGACTATTGAATAGTTAGAAGACCTACAATCCATTCAAAAATTCATTGACCTTAGTGCTTGTTTACTTGATGAACGGTTGTATTCTGTCATAAATGTGACAGTGAAAAGTAAATATCTAGATTCTAGCACTAATAATTTTATAGATAGTGACCTAAAATCCACTCAAATAAACATTGAACTGTGTCCTTGTTCCAAGATGATACCAAAACACTGCATCCACCACCTCCCTTCTTGACGTCGAGAAGGGTAGAATGTCTTCATTTGATTTGACTTTGTTTCAACTTTATTTTGAGTCAGTTCCACTACTGAGTATCCCACTCAGCCTAGACTGAGAGATCCATGAGTGATTGATCAGAAGCCATTGAGCCTCAGGATATTCCTCAGACCTTGGATTCTCTGCCTCAGGATATTCCTCAGACCTTAGATTCACTGCCTCAGAATAATGTCAGACCTTCAGACTTGCTTTGTTTTACATCTATATGATTCCTTCATTTTGTTTCACTATAATCCAACCCTTTTGATTGACGCACGAACTCAAGTTCAAGTCCATCAACTCTATTTCATCACACTAAAATGCAACTACATACATATGGACTTTAGAAGATATCTGTAATTCTCTTGTTTAAAGGAAGTTCATGATGAGAACAGACCCAGTTGACCCAGTTGAATTTTTGGCGGTAATCGAGCGTAAGTGGGTCTACTGGGTCAGGGGTTCAGGTTTTAGACCCAAATACCCACCTTGGTTGACCCAACTACGCACATCACTGTCTACCCATCTTCAAATGCCAACCTGCACCCGCTGTCGCGACGCGCTGGCCTACTCGAAGGCTTTTTTCGCACTTCAGGTTGACTCACTGGCAAACCACAACCATCAATCACGCACAACTCATGGTGACCTTGCGGCAATATCAATCAATCATCGGTCTCACAAAGCACTCCTAACCCCAGAATCAATTCAAAACTCCCCATTAGTTTGAATCCCAATCTCACTGCTGGTGTCAAACTCGGTCAACTTCAATCAAGTCAGAGGCTCAGAGTCGATTTCACTTCCTTTGTTTTCCTTCTCATTTTTACCTTCACCAACACTTTTGAGTGAGTGCTCTAAATTTAATATAATCAGGCATTGAAGAAGTTGATAGACTGATATAATGATGTCTTACCAGTAAGCTGTTTCATACAATCAATTCTTGTTTCCCTAGTCTCAGTACTCCTGTATTTGTACTAGGTCTGTGCATATGTTCCGAAGTACTTGTGACAACTTTGTCCTAGCAGTCAGCTGATGAATCGATCTTTTCTGCTCTAATAGAATGGTTGATCTTACTCTTACTCTTTGGTAACACCCTTGAAGCCTATTATAAACTCAAGACACGAGTGCTTATCACCCATGTGGAGATCCCATCAACCCCTCAACAAAGTCATGATAACATTTCTACTCCGCAATCCCTTAGGAATTCCTTCCCAAATGTGAGTGACAGTCAAATTTCAAATATATTGATATCTTGTTGTGATGTCTTACTTTTATCCTATGCTCTAGGTCACCAGTTGCGCCTCCAATCAAGCATCATAGCTCTCCAGCGTTCTAACATCAAGAGCATAACAAAAAGAACCTTACTATTACTACCAGAACCATCCTCTTACAAAAAAAATGGTCCACATTCATTCTGACCCAGGACCCTCTAGCCAATCCGTTATCTGAAACTACTGGTTGAGTCTACAAACAACATAATCTCGAACCCAATAGCAATAACCTACCTTCATTACCCAACGCAAGTCAAAACCTTCATTCCTCTTCTCATTCGCCGAATGTTCGTCAACCACACAAGCTTCAACTAAGTCAGTCCGTTCGCAAGGTTTTTAACCCAAACACACTTCATTGTTTGCTCAAAGAGACCCTCGGATAAAAGTTCATATTGTTCATTACTAGACTCTAACTTACCGCACTCTATCTCTTGTCTTCAAGTGGTGTTGATATAATTGACGTGCACTTTACTGTTTATTCAGATTTGTAGATTTTAGCTACCAGATCAAAAACTCAAATGTCAGCATGGATTCATGGAAAATGAAAGAAACAGATGTGACAAACCTTTTCAAGTTTATTGTTCACCAATCTGTGTAATGCAATCACTGCTCAAATTAAACTGGAAAGATACAACACCAAGAGTTGGTCCTTAGTGACAATTGTCAAGGGTCTTGAGCGATCAAGAACTAGGCTTGTCAGATCCTTGGCTCCTGCTGCAATATATGTTAGACTGCTCATCGAGTCGTCACCATTGAGAGATTTCTCGACAGGATCAGATTGTAAGGTGGTGATTGGGCTTAGATCAGTAATTGGGAGTAGGTCGAAGATATCTTGAAGGTTGTAAATGATCTGATGGTCTACAGGCAACTCATTGTTGATCACGCCTTGCAGATAATCACTGATCTCAGATAGTCTAGCTTGGAGTCCTCAAAGCAAGTTGAGTCAATCGGTGACTCGAATAGAGAGCGTGCCGGTAGAAATATCTCTGATATTCCTTAAAAGATGTTCCACACCGATTGAAGGGACATGCAGTAGGAACTCGCGTATGACTGACGCCCCAGCTAGCTCTGCCAGTCTCTATCAGAGACCGTAAATATGGTGCAGGGGTCATTAGATGAGGTTGGGAGCGTTCATGAGTTGGAATAAGTTTGGTTCTGGCAAATCGGGAACTGGTAAAACTGGGTCAAAAGGCGGATTGGGAAATAAAGAAAACAGTTTGTCGGCCCATAATCCATCACCTGTTTGCCGCAGAGAAAAGTCGGTGTGAAAAAACATGACGAGCTTGTTAGTTCCTGTTGTCTTGTATGTCCTTTGGAAAAGTAGCTGAGAACAAAGACTCTGTAAGGATATCATTACTAACCGACAATTAAAACCACTCGACTGGCAAGAGGCAGCACATCATCTTGGGAAGCGGCAGGTTCTCCTTCGATCGGGTCCAATATACATTGGCAACGTTGAGGGATGTCACAAGGTCTTGGCCTGATAGTACACCTACCACTCGCTTTCTTCCGCCTTTGGCTACACGAGCTGCATGGTCTTTTACAGAGAGGAGGACAAGAGGATGGATGATGACCTAAGTTTGTTGTTTGAACAAAGAATTAATGAGTTTGATTGATCAAATGATGAATAGTTTCAAAATGACATTGACTTACTTGAGTGGTACTCAAAGCTACCATTTCTTCACTTGTAGCAGCTACCATTTTGAAGTATGAAGTGATTGATTGAAAGTGTGAGGTGAACTGATAAGATGATGAAGTTGTTTAAGTGGTGATGAGATTGTTGATCGATCGACTGGATGAGTCTATTTGATTTGGTGACCACTGTATGTTTGATTCGAAAGAGATTGGCTCAGTTGCTGATCAAGTTCATGTCGCAATTTCATACTGGAAACCGAACCACGTAAAGATCGATCTGGGAAGCAGGAAGCAGACTGATTATGATTTGATGGAGATTGAGAATGTTTTAGGAGATAAATAGAATCCCATCTGATCAGGTGAGATGGTGACTGGTGTGAATGCTGTTATGAAGTGAAGGTTGAGATATGAATCAGTTTTAAAAACAGGAGGAAGGGGAGATTTGAAAAAAGAGACTAAACTTGGATGATTGATTGGAATGGATACGGGTAAAGAGAAAGTGATCATGAAAGTGATGATTGAGGAGTACTGTTATAAGATTGAATGACTTTAGGAGTTGGACTAGAACAAGGAGTTGAATGATGATGACTCGTAGTAGTAGTAGGTGTTTGTTCAGCTTCAGGAGATGCTAATGAGATGATGTTCACATCATAATTGTTACTATCAATGAAAGTTAAGGCAGGTGAAGGACTTATAGGATTGTTCTTCTAATTATTGGTTGAACTGAGATTACTAGGATGGTTATTGATTGATGTTAGATTTGGTAAATTCGTTGGATTTGGTCTGTAAGAAATCATGGAATTTCATGGTGAGCTTTATTAATCAATCACTATGACTGATTGAGTACCAGTTCATGTACTACGTGTTTATCATTTTGTCAAGATGGAGAAATTCAAATCAATCTCACTGTGATAGTTAGACAGGGTTCCCATTCTAATCTCTTTCACTTGATTGTAAAATTGATCCTGATTCTGAAAGTTATTGATATTCTATTAACTCAATTTGTGATTGATTGATTTCATAAAATGCATGTCTGAGTTGTTGCATAGCTAATGCTCTTGCTGCACTGATAGAGGTAGTCTCAAATAGTTGATTGTTTGAACTGAGTAAAAGCCAGATACGTCGTAAGTAAGTTCATCTCGTTTGGAATGCACCCTTTGGAGGAATATTCGGTTGAAGGAGGTCCAAGGGGGGAATCGTTCAGTTGAATAAAATCAGACGGCACGTTGATGCGCAGGTCTGAGCTGTCCAGGTTTTCAAATACTTAGGCTGCTTAGGGCTGCTTAGGGTTGCTGAGGTTTGGATTAGTGGAAGAAACGATTTTTTTGAAAAGACCTTTCTCGCACCAAACCCCAACCATTCTACCCTTCTCGACGTCGAGAAGGGAGGTGGTGGACGCAGTGAAAGGAAGTTGCCTACTAATCCTAAAACACGTTAACTGGAAGGATAAAGATAAGAGCCAATGTTTGGTGTCAATCACAAAAAAAGGGTGTGAATATTAAAAGGTCAGTCTATATGATCAATACATCTGTTGATGTGAAAATAACCACACCTACCTAACTTTAAACATAATACATAATCTTTTTGGTGAAAGATATTGATACAAGGTGGCATCGAAATGTGAGTTACTTGCACTCAATAACAATGGATGTTTGGAAGTTGTTGCAAATCAGCAACTTCAGAAGACATATGACGAGATTATCCAAGAAATGAATAGAGTAATGAAAGTGCTTACTTTGATTAAGTCGAAATAACGACACTAACCTCATTAAGTACCAGCAATTTTTCCTGAGAGAAGGTTATCCACACTCGATAATATTGAATTTGTTCAGCAGGTCGGAATTGAGGTTGGTAGTACTAGGGTACGCTTATGATGTTCAATATTGGACATATGATCCATATGAAGAAGATTTCGAACATATCAAATATAATAGCAAGATGGTGATGACTTGCACTCAAAGTTGAAGAACAGCCCACCCTACATAAACAAGTTGTCCTGGTGAAAGATGGTGACGTTGAAAGTTTGAAGCAGATAAGTTATTCGTAAAGTGCAGGTTATGGTACTGGTGATTAGATCCTTGAATAAGATTCTAATAATAGGAATCAGGACCACAAACCAATAAGATTTGTTTGTGCTTTACAAAAATGTGCGTTTATCTAAATGTGTATTGTCTTTGTTCATGGGCACAAAAGTATAAATATCCAACATCCATTCAGTCTGTGGATTAAGTTCAGTCATCAGAGGCGGAGATCAAGGAATTTATGCGGTGAAGCAAGCAGCCACCGCATAAATGATAGGATAAACATCCTGGTACCAATTGAAACTGGACAGACGGGACCAGCAAAGGCATATACAAATGTGTTTCATAAAACACAGTAGACTTTGCGACTATGTCCTCACTTACATATGGGGAGGATTTGTAACAATAATGATGAGTAAAGAAATTACTTTCACTTCATAAGTAACATAGAAATGAAACCAAAAGCAATAGAGTAATCACTCAAATCATACAAATTCAACAATAAAAAAGATTGATTCAATTATCTTTAAATAGTCAATTAATGAATAAGAAACACAAATATAAAATGCAGAAATCAACGCAAAAATACTTGATAGATCAAATGGCTAAAACACTTTGATTGGATTATCTTTAATTTTTTCCTTTGTTAACCATACTGGAAGATAAGCAACAGATAAATCAAAGCCAAAAAAATTGAGTAATCACTCAAATCATACAACCATAATTCAAAGAAAATATTTAAAGATATGATTATCTTTAGACATTTCCTTACTTAATAAGAAACACAAAAATCAAACTCAAAAAGATTTGATAGAACAGGTTTTCAATGATAAAATAAATTATTTGGATTAAGTTTAATTGTTTCCTTCCTTAACCATACTGGAGCTTAAGAAACACAAAACAATAATCAAACCGGAAAATATTTGATAGTATAGTATTACATAGATGAGTCTCATGATGATTCACTCAAATCATACAAGAATCCAATGATAATTGTATGATTTGATTATCTTTAAATATTTCCTTATTTCATTCTACTTGGCAAATGAATACTTATTGTAAAAGGCTTCTAGTTACTTGTGATGTATAATTAATATAATTGTTACTTATTTAAACATCACATAAGATATGCAAAGTCCATTTTAAATAAATCTTTCCAGGAATCATAAGACATTTGTATTTGCTGTAAACTCCACATGACTACAGCCGTTGAAGAAATTAATGGCAGTTTTGAGCCTCAATGTGTCGCACACGGATAATACCTCCAAGTCCAAAACTTGAAATTATAAAGTTTTGGAGGTGAAACTCTATAGTTCAACATGTCAAACATGACAAAGTTCCTCTGTTTTCCCTCATGACTGACAGGTTCTACAAAGAAACCGGTTGGCCCCAACCCGTTTCCTTGCAGGGTCAGACCTCGTAATATGTATACACAGATTGTAATCACCCCTTTGACCCTTTCTCCTTCCATATTTCTTCTCTTTTCATTCCCACACGATTCTCAGCCCCTCGTATTCAATCGTTCTTTCGATTTCGACCTCCACCAGCCTCCACCGTCAGCAACCGGTGCTGCAGCCGGGAATCACACAACATCGCTACCAGGCAACACCACATTAATTCATATCTTATTGCACAAGGAACATTTTCATACCATCAGCCAAGGTAAGTTTCCAGTTCATTATCACAACAGTCATACCTATTAGAGCTCGAGGTCTAGCTAACCAACATTAAGTTCAATCAATCTTTATGATGATTCATCATGATTGAAAGCTTGGTTTCTATACCGTCCATTCCATCCATCCATCCCATTGAGCAACAATACGTCACCTTTTGACTCGTTTCGCAAAGCTCAATATTTGTTTGGTATTTTTCCAAGCACAATCAATTCATCAAGAAATGAAATTCAAATCTGTCATTGGCTTCGATTGAAGGCATCAAAGAAGATTACCAAGTAAGTTTGATACAATCCATTCCTTTCAAACAAAAAGCCAAGCTGACTTTTGCATTCATTTGACCTTAGATTGTTCTGTTCCCTGTCTGCTGGCTTTTGTGTAACCTATGATCAAGTCCACCTTCAATTGCTTTCTCGAATTGATTTGACCTCAGATTGTTCTGTTCCCTGTCGCCTGCCTTCTGTGTAACCTTTGACCAACTTCACCTTCGATCGATTTCTCAAAAGAATCTGCCAACACAAATTTCACCCATCGACATTTCATTCATCTCCGGTCGGAACAAAGTGATCTCTCTGTCTTCTGTGTAACCTTGTCTTTGACTCAGTTCGACTTCGTTTGCTTTCTCGAAAGAATCTGTCAACACACTCTTTTTCATTCATATCATCTGCGGTCGGAACAAATCGATTCCTCAGGCGGAACCAAATTATCAATTCAGCCTGTTCATTTCCACCGTTTATGGATATTGGTAGACGTCGCTACACCTGGACGTAAAGCTATAAAGGGGGCTGTTTGCCTCTCTTGTTCTCGAATCAAGCTATCTTCAAGACCTGCTATTCCCAGATTTATATAATTTTTCGCTTGCAACCCACCAAACCCCTTTGTCCTACTCCAGTCAGCTTTGGTTTCTACTCTATTTCCTCTTGATTAGTCTAAACTCGACTCATATTATTTCGTCTATTTTCTTTTATAGTCTAAATCGAGTTCTAGCCAACAAACATCAGTTAGTTTAATCCCTTGGCACATTTCAAGCTGAAAGAGAACTGACACTCCTTTCAACTTTGTCTTTATCAGAAATGTCTGTTTCATCAACTTCTTTCAACGACCAACAGGACCAGCTCTCAAGCCAGCCCTTCAGCCAGCCCTTGAGAGGTCATATGGACTCGTGTAAGTGCTCCCTTAGTCTGTAATCACTAGGCATTTCCGATGGTAACTGACTGACCATTTTTTCAGTGTTTGAGCGTCCATCATCCATATATGATGGACCTGACGCACCTGCGACGTTCTCCAAAGGACCCTTGTTTTTAGCTGGCTCTGAAGCCAGGATGGCTTTTGACAAAACTCACGAGGTAACTGTTGCGGTAGTATTCAAACT